ACATGAGCCATGTGTCCAGCTTTGCGTTGGTTATTTGGAGATGGAGTCTCTACCTCCCCAATTGACTTTGAACCACAATATACCAGGTCTTAGCTTCCTAAATAGCTAGGATTATAGGCCTGAGCCACAGGTGCCAACCTGAATTTCCCTCATACTTGCTCTATAACTACCGCCTGAACTCCTCTTCACTAACAGCCAGTAAAGTTGAGGACCATGTATGATCAGGTTGGTCACTCTTTGCTAGCACTCTGTATCTTACTAATTGACCACAAAACCCTCAGCCCCTTCCAGAAAGATACCTTTCAGCATTTTTCCATTGCTAAAACTCTCAAGAACCATTAGCAATTTGAGTGTTCGCTCTACTTTAAGGTTACAAGCTAACCAACCAGTTTCATGGACACTAGTAGAAGATATTTGACTTCTGGGTCAGATATAAAGCATAGTTCACGGTTATGTTCTTCCTTATAGCCAAACCCCAGAATGGTAAGCTCAGGCAGGAGAGCCACAAAGGAGTGCCTACCCATTCTATGGGGTTGCATTACAAGGGAGAAAATGTAAGCCTTAGAGAATTCAATTTTTTAAATCAAGGGCAGTAAGCATGTCTTAAACTCTGGAGGGAAGGAAACACTCTCTTCCAAGGTTATATTCAAATTTCACCTCTGCTCTAAGATTTGGTGGGGAGGAGAAACAACATTCTTTTCCAGGTAGCTAGCACAATATACATACATTTTGGATGGACACAGGGAGTCCTTGGCTTCACTGAGAAAGGCAAACAGAAATGCAAGAGGTCTATGGAGTCTTGTCTTAAAAATACAAACCTCCAAATCAGAAAGCACGAAATGCATACACTTGATGTTTGTAATAAAGTACTTAGACTTGTGAAGTACTTAGACCCATGAATTACTTTTTGTTTTGTGTTTGACACTGAGCTTTACAGTGAGTGTGACCCAGGTTGGCCAAACTCAAACTTCCTGCTTCAGCCTCCTGAGTGCTGAGATTACAGAGTGTGCACAACTACAAACATTATAATTTTATACAAATATTAAGGGACTCCTACAGATTATCAGAGCTTCAGCAATTCTAACTCGGACCCACTGGACCCAAGTTAACAACTTAAAACATTTTGAATATCCACTAAAGCATAACTTCAATATCTGAGCACCATTTACATTTCAAACTTTTATTTTCTCCTGAGGTTTTTTTGTTTGTTTTCTTTTAATTTGACTAACTTCACACTTAGGCCCAGCTAATCTTCATTCCTGAATGCTAGTCAAAGCAAAGCCATTCATATAAACCCCTCAGGAGAGAGTCAGGGAGACCTGATTAACGTGTAGATTAAACTTAATTTAAAACCATAGATTAAAATGTCAATGCATTCTACTTTTTAGGCAATTTTCTCTGGCGTGACTACAGTTCTTAGTAAGAACTTCCAAATTCCTGCACATAAATATACTAAGTATATCCTAATATCTCCCCAAACAGGCTTAGTAGTTATATAAGAAGCTAGCTTATTCTAACATTTGTCTAGTTATATAAGAAAAGCTGGCTTATTGTAACATTTATCTATTAAGCCCTATTTCATGACCCAGACTTCTTAACTGATTGCCATAACAATTAAACCTCCATCCTCCTAAGAGCCTGTCTACAATGGCTTATGAAGGTAGGGATAGAAGCCAAATTCCAGGTTGGCCTCAATTATGTCTAAATGTCAGTGTACTTTTCCCACACAATGAAACATATGGAATCCTGAGACAGACCCCTTTTAAGGGAAATGGGGTCAGGTTCCCTAGTAAGATTTTTCACCCCAAAGGATAGGCAGGAATGTGCTGTTTCTCTGATTCTATGGCTAGATAGAATCACAGATATGTTTATCATTATAATTCTTTATACTCTAGACCTTATGTTCTCAAACCACTCTTTGAGAATATCCCAGGGTTTTAGTAAAGTACGAACACCATCAGTCTGATGTTATTGTGTCCATGTGTATGCTCTGGATTAAGGCATTCTTTTTGTTTGGATTACAAACCACATTACTTGATAAATATCTGAGAAAAATGGAATTGGGTGAGTTGGAAATGAAAGTAAACTTCACTTATTCTATGAATACAATCCTTCTAAGAAAAAATGATTCCTGCAAATGTTTAGTTTTCTTTTTTTTTGGTCGGTTGTGGGGCTTGAACTAAATGTTTAGTTTTCTAAATAACTTTGTAATGGAGCGAAACCATATTCTTGTGAAAAAGAGCCAAAACCTTTATTTTGGTATAATTTATTCTCTTTTTGTCAAACAGGCCAACAATAAGGTCATCAACTTCCTTGGCAATGCCTACCTACATTCCCATTCCTATGCTACATTTATGTATTTGTTTTGTTTTGCCCTGCTTTATCCTCAGTTCTTCAAATCATTTCATTTTCTCACCTATTGGAACTATTAATTCCACTGAACATTCTTGAAGGGCAATTAAGATGGTAGAGAAAGATCACTTCCTGAAAAACTGACCTTCAGTTTTTAAGAAACATTATGTTTATTCCATATCTCTCTGGATAAACAATATTTGGTAATATTTCCTGCATATTGTTAGCAATTCATCTAACGGCAGACAACTCAGGCATTTTACTCAAGAGGCAGATTGGCATCTAGAAAATTCAACCTTAACATCTAATCTTCTGGTGTTTAAAAAAGTCAAACCTCTGTTTCCTTCATAAAACACATTATCTTTTAAGCTATTTCCATGTTTCAAATTTCCATAGCATGTTTTCTAAAGAAAGAAACACACTCACTACAATACATCTATTGATGTTAGCTCATATCCTATTTCCTCTACCAAACTTGAAACAAGGGTTTTTTTGTTTGTTTGTTTTAAAACTGGAACTATCCCTTGTTTTCAAGATGAAGAAAATCTCATATTTGAGGGTTGTTTTTTTAAAACAAAGAAATAATGGTAACACTTTCCTCCCAGAACGTCAACAGTTTGTTTTATTGCTTCATTCTTATATTTAAGCGGTCATAAGGAGGTTGGTGGTGAGCTGGCTCAGAGCTGGGTCACGCTGGGCAGGAAGTGGCTGAGAACATTTTAGCAGATTTTGAACTTTTTTAATCTGCTTGCCACTTTGGCTAAACATATCCAAGACCACCTACTCCACTTTTTCCTCCTAGCTATCACAGCAAAAAAAGAGTGCTCAGCAGAATGGACAGGAAGGAGGTACTTCTGATGTACTACCACCGAGGTAACTGTCTTGGTTTTATGGCTCTATAATATATGCCAGAGACAAAATTATACATTCTGTCATATTATAAACATTAAATAGGCCAATCCACAGACCACCTAGAGCTCCCTCACAGATTACAGCATGAATTTAAAGTACAGGACAATGGGAAATGCAGACATCTTGCAAGGTGGAGTGCCTGTTAGTAACTGCAAATACAGAGAGATCACATGGAAACTACAGCAATCCTGGAAATGACCACTTGTCACTTACACAGAAAACAAAACGACCACCGTGCCATAAAGTAAGAATCTCTCTTTTTAGAATAAAAGAGCCTTAAGACCTATATTCTAAACTCAAAATTGGTTGAAAGTAATTGAATTTCTCTCTCATTTTGAGTATCAAACTTTTAAAAAAAATACACAGATTCACACTCTGAATATGGTAATATTTCAGGAATATGAACCTTAACTCATTGACAAATATGAAAATAAAGCCACAACAGGATGAATTTTAAGAGACAAATTACTATTAATAAAAATAATTGGAGGGTTTTACTACATTGGGTAATATCTAAAAACAAAGTGACTAAAATTGATGTTGCAAATTTCCAGAACATTACTTGGACTAATTTATCTAACAATCCAAAAAGTAGCTAAGTGAAAAAATTTCATATTCCGATTGAGTCAGCTATAGCACTTCATACTTACCCCCCATTATAACCTCAAAAAAATTTAAATAGGATGGTTTATAAGAGAAATACTGAAAATAAATCATCTTTGGATACTTTTAGATTTTCCCCAGTGTACCACAAATCACATCCAGAAATCCAAACAAAACTTAATCACTGAAATGTTTGAGATCTGCTGCTGAAATCTAGAGCTGCAAGAGAAGAAAAGGAGAAAGAAGCAGATAGTCTGACCTCTCATTGCTGGAGCTCTGCAGCCATGTAAGTTAATATTGTGAGTTCATAAAAATCACCAGTAACACTAAAATAATAATAATAACATAAATAAAAATAGGCTTTGGTTAAAAAGAGAGGATCCGTTTACTGCCGCCCTGCTGAGGTACATTTGACCACCGAAGGCAGAAAGCTATTAGCATCCAGAATTAATGGGTATAGTGGTTTTCAAACAAGATATTTCCATGATGGACACAATGTAGACTCAGCAAAGTTTCTCCTTCAAGAAAAATACAGCTTGTATTTCAAAGAACACTGATTAGGCTTAATACCATTAGGGAACCATCAAGGATTTGTGCTGTTGTTACTGCTTTTAACTATGTGACTTTCTAAACCAAAAATTGAGGGTAGTTAACTTGAGCGACAGTCAAGATTTAGGAATGCAATAGCAAATCCAAGGTACAGATGAGCTTCAGATGTACTCAGGCCTCAAGGAGTTTAGAATCTTTTGAGATTGTCAGGTCCTAGCTTTTCTTAGCATCACCACTGTCACTGTTAGTACTTGTCTGGAACAAACTGGACAAATATTCATTTACCTCATTACACCTCCCCAGAGGAAAAGAACTAAATACTACATGATTTTAGAAACTTTCTGTGAAGTTTATTGGTAGCAATGCAAATCAATTGTAAGTAAAAACAAATTGAACAAATAAATAAATAAATTCTTAACTACTATTAATTGCCCATAACATATCTGGTAGATACAGTTTAAAAGTCAATATATTCTTTGTACACTAATTGTAAAAAAATACACTGTTGAGTCAATTTCTAATAACACTTGACAGTACAAATATAAGTTACAACACATGCAACAAAAGTCTATAGAACAAAGATAATTATTAAATTCTCTATTTAATCTGTAATATTTTATTTCCTATAAAAAATTTCAAACAGCCCATGTGTCTATATTATACACAAATACCCATGTCCCGAGGTCTTTCCCATCATACGTGCAATCCTTCTTCATTGCTCAAAATCTTAATTTTTATTCTTGGTTGGATTTTTCTTCCTTGGCAATTCTTTTTGTTACTCCACTGAAATATTTCTCACGGAAGGAATTATGGCCTTGGTAGAGTAGAAAATGATCATTTAGCAGATGTGCATACTGGTCCTGGTTCTAATTGGTAGGAAAACAAAATATAAAGATGTTTAAGTTACTTCTTTTGTTAGCCTGAAATCAAAATAGCCGTTTTCTCTAAGAAAGTCACATTCTGATATACATTTGATCTTCATTATTACCTGAATTGCAAATATATAACTATTTTATATGTGTATCATACTTGGATGTTCAAAGTGTCTTCATTTGCTTCATCTCACTAAATCCTTACAATAATACTATGCATAGCTAACTATTCAGATATATTTATAAGATATCTCTTTGTTGCTTTGTATGTCCCTCCTCTACGGTATAACCCCTGTTTTCACTGTATTTGATGTTGGTATAATTTGTGGAGGGGAAGGGAAAAAACAACTTGTTTAAATAGGGATACAGGTGGACCCATTGCAACAATGAGATGTACAAGACATTATGTCGAAAAATGAACTTTACAACTTTGGCTGGGGTGGTAGAGGGAGGGAGGGAAGGGATGGTAGGGAAACAAAGGAGGAGGCAACAATGCTTGGTAAGAAATATACTCCTTACCTTGCTCAAGTAATTGTAACTCCTCTGTACAGTATTTTCACTATATATATGTGTGTATATATATATATATTCATATATATATACACATATATATATATAGTGAAAATAAAACTATTCAGAAAGGACAAAGAGAATTGTTCCTGGTAACACAGTCAGAACTGTAACAACTTCACTGTACACCAAATTTATCTGAGACTAAAGATGTGAATGATCAAACCAAGAAGCTTCTATCTAGTCAAGGTAAAGGTAATATACAAAACTTAGGTCATTTGTTTGATATCATATATTGTCATATAACCACGTACAACTTTTCAGGGCTATATCCATCTTCTGTTAATGTAATAGAGGATTTCCAAACCAGTAGAAGACAGAGACTAAAGAAGAGACAGATATGCTTTCAGACTTTCAGACCAACACTGGCTGGTGCTCAGATTCACTCTCAATGGACTCGGAATAAGTCAGTCTTGGTTAGAATGTTAAAAATAGTTTGGCTTAGAAAACTGAGGGAAGAAAACATGAGTGGCAAGACACACTGAGATATCAGCTTCTCATCCAAGTTCAAAATCCATTTCAAACTGAAAAAAAATCTGATTAGAAATAAAATCTTATTTTTTGATGTTTGTGTAAATTCATATTCAGTTATACACGGATTAATGTGATTCTGAAGAAAGACAAAGACTCCTGGGAAGTATGATGCCTAGTTTTTTAATCCTAATTTCAGTATCAAAATGGTAGACAAAAACAATAAAATAATCTTATATATTTCTTTATTCCTATGTAAAATGGGTATCTTCATTCTTCCCTTAACCTTAATCAAATCCTATGCTTAGATCAAACAATGTTGACTCAATTGTTCATCAAGAAATTATTTTTGTAGCACTTATTTTTTAATTATATATAAAACACTTATTAAAAATAACTGCTGGAGATCTAGCTTAATAGTGGAGTATTGGTCTAGCTGTACAAGTCCCAGGGTTAGATACTTTGTAAAATCAAAATCAAAGCAAAACCAAGTAAAACATAATTTGGGCTGGAGAGGTGGCTGAGCACTGGCTTAGCATGTGTGAGGCCCAGTTTTGATCTCTAGCAATGCAACAAATAGGTAAATAGATAGAAACAAATACCTGGATTTCTTGATATATCAAAAATAAACAGGTGGGTACTTAAACTCTATGGCACTAATTATGCTACAGTTCCAATTAAGCACATGAAATCATGCCAAATGACTGCTGTTAGGCTACATAAAGTAGAAATCCAATGAATGACTACTAAATGAAAAGTAATTTACATCTGCTAGGTATTTATCATGGGTCTCAAAGCATACTAAACACTTTATACATAATATGTAATAAAACTATTACCTCTAAATTATATGCACACTCTCATCACTATTTTGCCTATGAAGAATTATTTACAAGTACAGGCCTACACTACAAAGCTGGAAGAAGCAGAGCTAGGGTTTGGACACAAATCTGTTTAATGACATATTAATAAGAGAGGTGTTTCCCAACTTAGGAAGCAGCAATAGCTCTGGAAATAAACAGGTAATAAAGCACCAGCAAAAACAAAAAGAACAAGGAATATAAATATCATGTTAGAGAAGGAGTAAATAGCAGTCCTGACATCAAAAATAAATAAGTAAAACATTTAAGACCTATGCAAATGGTTAACAAAAAAAATCGTTATCTATCACATTCTTTCACTGAATAGCTTAAGACCTCTCAGCTCCCTCAGAATACAGTCCAGGCAAAATAAGCTGTGCATTCTGCTCAGTAGCACAGACACAGTGGCAAAGTCATACATATTACTGATGACTTGGAACAGTGTGACCCGAGAGAATCTCATTTTCTTCTCTCTGGAAGAAAATGCATATGAAGTGTGTTTGGGCTCTGTAATGAAATGTTTCCTTCTACAAGACCAATTGTTCCCTGATTGTGAAACAGTACATTCATAACAGAAACTCCTAGAAAATCCCAAAGCTCCAAATCCCTTGTGTAGCCAAGGAACTGGTTGGAACCGTTCTACCACCTACAGTTAAGTGATGCTTCAGGATAAACCAGATACGCCAGAGACTTCAGCTACTCTGTTCAACTAGGTGGAAAGGTTCCAGTTCATAAAATGGTCCTCAGGAAACATTTGGTGTGTCTTTGATCACATTCATGCTCTCAAACATGTAAATATATAGCTACAAACAACACACATTTAAAATGCATATGAACTGAGTGCTACATGTAGTACTCAGAATTTATGTTATCAGAATGCTAAAGAAAATGGCAAATTCAATTTTCTTTTCTTTGGCTCTCTCTTCCTATCTTCGGTTCACTTCCACAAGACTAACACTTAGGATGATGATGGTAAACTCTACAGATGCTTCATCACCTTTCATCACTCTTCTCTAGCCACATTCCCTCTCCCTCTCCACCAGAAATATCTGTAGTTTTAAAATTCTGTATCTCAAAGGCCAAAAGTGTTTACTTAAAAAAGAACAGCATAGTCAAGCAATATAGTGTTTCATCCTCCTTTCACTCAAGCATGCCTGGAGTTTCTGAATTTGCTTTCTCTAATATTTCTGAGTCTGTCTACCACTATCAATTCTAGTTTTATTTATATATCATAAACCCTGAGTTTCACACATTTTTAGTAAACAAGAAATGCTTGATTTAAAATAAAGCCAAACAAGAAGTAGAACATGTCAAAAGAGAAAACTATGGAGGTGAAAGATTAAAAACTGGTATACCTTTCCTAAATTTCAGGACTATAGTAGTAATAAAGGAGACAAGAAAAAAATGTTGATTGATTATACTATTGCCTATCATCCTTCTTTAACCAGAAATTAAGTTTCTATAGGAAAATCTGTCCTAGCTACAAATTACTACATAATGGATAGAATAGCATTTCATCATTGAAAAACTATATATTACAAGAATATATACAAGTTTTAATCCAAGCACTTGTAGCTAATGCTGATAATCTTATTCAGGTGGCTGAGATCTGAGGATCACAGTTCTAAGCCAAACTGGGAAGGAAAGTCCATGAGACTCTTACCTCCAATTAACCACCAAAAAGCCAGAAGTAGAGCTGTGATCCAAGTGGTAGAGCACTAGCCTTGAGCAAAAAAATCTCAGACATAGTGCTCAAGCTCTGAGTTCAAGCAAGCCCCAGGACTAGTACAAAAAATTACACACACACGTATACAGAAAATGTATTCATATATAGAAGTATATACATTTACATGTATGTGTATATGCACACACGTTGATTCAAAAGAGGAATATATTTGCTTTCAACTATGTGATTCACATAAGTTAATTATTTAATTTAAGCATCTTTCATAGCACATTATCTAAATTTTGCAGATGGAGAAACAAAGGTTCAAAGAGTTTAAATTATCTGCCGCAAGTCACACATCTAGTGTGCAGCACTGTCAGAACTGTGGCCTAAATCAGACTTCAAAAGCTCATGCTTTTTTCATTATCTTTCTCTCATTTTTTAAAGCACAAATGACATTAAACAGTGGCTAAAGAGTTAATATTCCATACGGAAGATTAGTGGGTCCTTCAAAATAGAGTTTGACATTTAGAGGACATTGCTCACTGAACAGTAACATTATGGAAGAACATATTTCAGATCTAAACCTCTAGACAGAACCTCTTAACCACTGTTCCACCCAACCAATTTCCTGTCCTATCAGTACTGCTAATTCTAAACATAAACCACTTTAGGAATTCTAACACACCCGCCAAAGAATCCAAAGGAAGCTTCACAAATCAATAGTTCACTTTTACGTGCACACCACCCTCTGCTGGCTGAAGCAAAGCAGACCACTGTCATGTGTCACAACAGTCAGAGCACTGTCTCCTTAGCTGTTTTTCAGACCCACCTGTTGTAACCATCTTGAATCACACAACCCCCACATAACCAGGACAGCTTTTTTCTCAGGCACCATCAGCATTTATTCATGCCACTTAAGTTCTAAAGAATGATGCACAAATAAACAAATATATTCACCTTGGTGATTCTAAAGGGTATATCACTCATCTGTGTCCAACTTCTAGAATAAGACAAGTACATAAACTTGCCTATATTCAAGTTAATCACACATGCATACACACTTTAAATTTTTTTTTGAGACAAGATCTCTCTCTATAGCACAAACTGGCCTTGAATTCATATAATGTCTTTTTGCCACTTGTGCCTAAGTGCTGGGATTACAGGTATGCACCACCTTACCTCAATAGTCCTTACTTTTTATAATTGTATTTAAAAATGCAGCACCAAAAAGAATGAAAAGGAAAGTACTTCAGCCATTTGTAATTTCATAAGCTTTAAAGGGGAATAAATCCTCAAGAAAAGAAAGAAAAATGTATGCTTGTAGTAACACTGAAACTGACATTTTAGTGGCACTAATGACACTGAACTGTACAATGAGAAGTGCTTCTCAAACTACATAGGGTAAATTACTCAGACTATAAAGG